AAGCAGTTAGCTGTTGGAGGTTATGTAGAAGCCATTTACGAGGTCGTTCCAGAATATGCATGGGAATTTCTCTGATATTCGACAAAGGCCTGAACGGCAATTAGATAAGGCTTGGTTGAGAGGGGTTATGACATTATTTTTTGGCGTGTTGCATGCTTGATTTCTTGTGGAGGAAGACTTTTAGGAAATGTGCGTGTTGTGATTAATGCAAGTGAATTTCTCTGTGAAGTGGAATCGTCGATTTTTCTATAGTTATTAAATTTACATCCATTTTGAAAAAATCGCCCAAATGCAGAACTTGGTCACTTCAAATATTTTATTGATGCAGTACTGAGCCGGTTTTTAAATAAAAAGCGGAATCGGAAACGCTTTTACATCTCATTTTGTACGCAAAACAGAAAGACTTTGACGTCATGTCTCAAAAACTCAGTCAAGCGTATCAAAGTAAAAAAACTTTCATTCAAGAAATTCGAAAAGTCCTTAATAACTCAGAAAAAGAGTGAAGCGTTAAGGTTCAATCCTCGTCATCTGACTCAATAATGTAAGCCCTTCGTTTCTTCTACGGTTGGGGTGGAGAATTCTGGCTGTCTTTGGAGAAGAAATTGAAGTTGCAGCCTGTGTAATTCTGCAATGGAACGGGAGCAGTACAACTAAAGGCTTTTATGCAGTACTGAGACTGCAATGGAAAACGTGGTGAAAATCCTGAAAATTCAGCTGGCTGAAAACCAGGATTAGAGCCCATGGCCTAATGCATTTGGCCTTGTTGTTGGACGTATTAAATAGGAACCAGAGGTGTTCGTTTATGTTGGACTGCAATCTCTTGATTTGAGGCTTCATTTGCAGTGTTTTGGCGGGAGATTTTGTTTGCTTGATTTTCATTTGACACATCTTTATATCCACTGATAATGTAAGACAGTTCTTTCCTGTGATTCTCGTCTATTTCATCGTAGTCGTCTAACGAAGATGGCACGTGCATGGCCAGTTATTTCAGAGATGACATTATGCGGTTGACCAGGCTTCCTCAGTTTTGACACCAATGTTTTCCTCATGCTGTGGTTCGTCAGCCTCTTATTCGTCCTGAGACAGGAGGCCATGGATTTCATTACATTGCCGATGGTGTCTTGTCCCATTCGAACTTTGGTGTACCAAACATCTGCTGATTTACGACGATTTATAATGCCCAGATAGAGTGGCCCTGTGTTTTTCATTCCTTCGGGTCGTTTAGACAACCAAAGCTTGAATAGCCGCACTGGAACACTTTTTCCGCCATCAGTGCAGAATATTGCTTGTGGTGTTGTTCTTCGCCTGATGGTGAGACCACCGCTCGGTTTTTTGGTGGGACCTTCCCGGAACTCAACAACTTTAGTTCCATCTTGTTGCTGCCTTATGATTACGTCTTCCACGTGTGCGTCGTAGGGT